TATATGACGGATTATTGATAAAATAATTTATTGAATGCATTAGTTAATTTTTCCAACTTAGTTTGGAATCAAGCTAACAATTTTTTTATATTGCCTATACTAAAACTTTTACGGCGACTTTTATTATATATTAATTTTAAAAAATGAGCTTATCGAAAATAACTGATAAGGCGCTAGTCGTGCTTCCTCCAGCACCTGGAAGGTAAATATATAATTAATTTTCTCGTTAATAAAAACTGATAAAAAAATACTTCATTCTGTATTAAATATGTGTGAGATAAAGGGTGACATTCAAAAGTTTTTGTTCGAACTAGAACGTTTTTTTTTTAATTTTTTTATTAGGTTTACATTGATTGAATGGTACCTCAATAACAGAGAACGATGTAGGACCGTTTTAGATCAACAACAGTTATCTGATAAGATTCTTGCAGAGAGCGATAGAGTTTGTATTTTTGAAATATTTAATAATAATAATTTTACTACATAAACTTCGTTTATACGTAATAGCTTAGTGAACAAGTGACTGAGTTGTGTGGTCTTCAAAAAAAGGACGTCGAGAGCAAGTTGAAAGAGAAGATTTTGGATATTGAATTCATAAAAAAAGAAATTGAAGTACAAAGGAGGGAAGTTTGCATCGAAGTAGATAATTTAGAAACCTATCTCGAAAGGATTAACGACGCTATGAATTCATTAAGAGAAAAGTGCTTGAAAATTTGTAGAAAGTGCGTTATCCTGCGTGAACATCGTCTTGGAATTGAGTTGGTAAGTTCTTTTATTACTATTTTAAAAAGATTTAGTTTTAAAATAAATTGAAAAGAGTCCAGGAATGAAACTGTTCCAAAATCCTTGCAAATAAGATCCTTTATTTTCATATATTGTGTTCTTCACTGGTAAGATATTGAAAGTAACATAAGATTTCTAACAGACCATAGCTAGTCCAGGTAAGACTATTAATCTTGTATCTTAATCATTTAATGTCGAAAATAAGATGTTCATAAAGATACATAAACATTATCAACAACTATTAAAAAATTATATTAAAAATTTTGGTGGATGCGCCGGGACAATTTAAAACAAAAGTTGTAATTGAGCTGTAATTCAGATATCATTGAAGTAGATTGATGAATTATCATCTTTTATTATATGTTTCCATATAAATTCAGGTGAAGATACTAATTTAAGTCTTTTTTACAATAAAACTGGAATTTGTAATATATGTAATGTATAGGCAACCCAACGTACAACAAATATGTTAGAAAATAATTCTTTTACGTGAAATTCAACAATATCCTCGAACAAATGACGAAATATTACGTAAAAATAGATAATTAAGTATTAATACCTTCTTGTAAAATTTAATTGAAAACTTACATCCTTTTTTAATGTTGAATTAATAAAACTACACAACTTTAAAAGTTATGGTGTTCCATGAAGTAATTGTTTTGTATTTTTTAGTGCTTTTTTGGCCCCTTTTCCAGAAAACTGCCGTTAAATTAAAACATAATTTCTACAACTCTGTTTAAGAGCTACATTTTCATTTACCTGAATTATGTAAGGGAACAGCTATTTGGTATTCACACCCTTATCTTCATTTCATTCTCCACCGTTTACCGGGCTATTGAAGTTAATTTTAATGGTAGATATTTTTCATTTCAGGTCATGTTCACAAACACAAGTGGCATAGAGGAAGAAAATTTCGAGCAAGACCCTGTTACTGTGCTCTCAATTCTCTTAGTGGGTGAGTAACAAAATACAATTTCATTCCCGNATACATTCCAGCACTATTTTTGCTAAAATGCGTAAAATAATTTAAATATAAAAAAGCGCTCGTGAAATTATTAAGAGATAGAAAGTATTTTCTAAGCTTTTAGATTTGTAAAAAAATACGTAGAATCTCATGGGGCCAATGGTTTTCTAGTAGGGTATCAAATAGATTCTTTTGCGGCATTGTAATTGCTAAAATATATAAAATTGTCTAATCACTAAAGCGCTCGTGAATTTGCTAAAGAGCGGAAAGTATTTATGAAGGTTTGAGAATCTGATGGTGGAATCAGTTTTTAAGTGCGGTTTCAGATAGATACTTTCTGGGATTATTCTCGCTGAATAGAAATATAAAAAAGCGCTCGTCAAATTTTATTGGGAGATGGGAGATATTTAGTAAGTAATAAGCATGTGAAGAAGTAGATAGAATCTCTTGGTCTCAAATTATATACATATGTTTTACAAAAAACTATTTCCTAGGTAATTATGACGTAAGTTAAAATGATTTTGTTTTACACCGTTTGAGATACGTCATTTTTTTTTGAGTGAATTGGTGAAAAGTTTTTTTTTATTATTTATTTTTCTTTTTGTACTAGTAAAAAAATCAAGAATATGAATTTAACAAAAATACCTGAAAATGCTTTAGTTGTGCTACCTCCTGCCCCTGCCAGGTATAATACATCCCCCTATGTTTAACTTCGTTCCACATTTGAATCAAAAATTTATTCTGTATCTCATTTTTATCTCAAAATTCCGAGATGCGTACACGACTTCTATTCTAGATTTACTTTAAACGAATGGTACCTCAATAATAGAGAACGGTTCAGATGCGTACTAGATCAGCAGCAATTGGCTGATAAGATTCTCGGAGAAAGCGATAGGGTTTGTATTTTCGAAAAGTTGCTTTACCTCGATGACACTATTATACATTTCCTCATAGCTTCGCGAACAGGTAACAGAGCTATGTGGTTTGCAAAAGAAAGACGTCGACAACAAATTGAAAGAAAAGGTTTTGGACATAGAGTTCATTAAAGGCGAAATAGAATTACAGAGAAAAGAAGTGTGCACCGAATTAGATAATTTAGAGACGTATCTAGAGAGAATTAACGATGCCGCGAATTCTTTAAGGGAGAAATGCCTCAAAATTTGCAAGAAATGTGTTGCCCTTAGAGAATTCCGTTTAGGAATCGAACTAGTAAGACAACAAGAAATATTCTCACTTTTATAAAGACGTTAACAGTAAGGAACATAGAAAAATAACTTCAAGGAATCTCTTAAGGTATTCTGAGTTTCTTCATGGTTCTTTAGTTTATCTTGGAATATCTAAAGATATACAGGGTTTGTCCGGAAAGTAATAGGACTGATTTCCTTCAGCCGCGACTGGATTCGGTAGAGGGTATTCCTAGCTAACGAACGAGCGGCTGGTGAGTTGTCTCCGAGCACCTGGAGAGTCAGAACAGGCTTTTTCGCGCGACGTGTTTCCGTGAGTGGTGCAAGCCAAAAATGCGGCATTCGTTAGAGCAGAGGTACGCGATTAAATTCTGTGTGAAACTCGGTAAATCTGCGACAGAGACGTTTGATATGATCAAGCAGGCTTACCCAGATGTTGCTTTAGCAAGAAGTGATGTGTTTCGGTGGCACCAGGCCTTTTCAGAGGGCCGGGAAGAGGTCGCCGATGAAGACCGTGCTGGAAGACCTTCGACTTCGACAAACACCGACAATGTGACTCGTGTGCGCGAAGTTTTGAACTCAGACCGTCGACTAAGTATTCGTTTAATTGCCCAGATATTAAATTTACCAAAATCTGTGGTTCATGACATTGTGACGGAGCATTTGAACATGCGCAAGGTGTGCGCGAAGATGGTCCCAAAAGTGCTCACTGACGACCAGAAATTGCGGCGAGTGGAAGTGTGCCAAGAAAATTTAAACATGTGTGAAAGTGACCCCCAATTTTTGAATAACGTAATCACAGGTGACGAGTCATGGATCTTTGAGTATGATCCCGAGACAAAGAGGCAATCTTCCGAGTGGCACACGCCGGCGTCTCCTCGCCCAAAAAAGGGAAGAATGAGCAAATCCAAAGTGAAAACGATGCTCATTGTCTTTTTTGACATGAAAGGCATCGTCCACCATGAATTTGTTCCTCCTGGACAAACCGTCAACGCCAAGTTTTACGTGGAAGTGCTCAAGAGACTCAAACGAAGGGTCAATCGGGTCCGACAAGACATCGCAGCCGACTGGAAGTTGCACCACGACAACGCCCCGGTTCACACCGCCTTTCTTGTGGACAGCTACCTGACCAAGGCCGGCATCCCAACGCTTCCGCAGCCGCCCTACAGCGCAGATGTGGCCCCCCGGACTTTTTTTGTTTGCTCGCCTAAAAAGGCCGACGAAAGGCAAGCATTTTGAGACGACAAAGGAGATCCAAGCAGCATACACCGCGGCTCTTAAAGCTATTCCGAAGAATGCCTTCCGTGACGCCTTCAATGCTTGGAAATCGCGCTGACAGCGCTGCATCGACGCAGAAGGATCCTATTTTGAAAGTTTTTAAAGAATTGTAACGATTGGCTCAATAATTTTTTTTAAATCGACTCACTCCTATTACTTTCCGGACAAACCCTGTACCAACATGAAACTCAGAACACATAAAGGGATTTTGGGATGATCACGTTAGTTGCCATATTTTAATTCCCAACCAGTGTCATGACGATGTCGAGAGAGAACTCCTGAAGGAAGTGGACGTGATAACGGGCGCTCAAAAGCTTCTACAACGCGTTGCCGAAGAAGCGAGCGAACAAGTTCGTAGACTACGATCCACGATTTACTTCATGGACCGCGATTTAGAAAATAAGGAGAACGTTTTGAAAATAGACCAGCGAAACTTAATTTTGGCCGAAACCGACCTCAGTTTGAGCATGTACCATGGGTTTACACCATTGGATCCGGCGTATGTTCTTTTCTATCCGGTTGCGTACGACAATGGCCATAAACATATTTGCATTCCAGGAACATAACGTACGAAGAATGGGAAGAGTTCACCGTGAGGAACATAGAAAATGCTGGAAAGGAATTGACCAGTGCCAGACAAATGAGATCGTACGTGGACACCCTTCTTAAGCAGGTGATTGAAGACCTTTGGAATCAGTACAATATTGTAAACGACTCATTTCGAAGGAGGATCGAGGAGACCAAGGAGGCCAAAACAAAAATGGAGATACAACACTCTGAGGTAAGCGTTTTAGAGAAATCTACAAAGCAGAAAACAGTGATGAGCGAAATTGTTCTTGATCTTGCAAAACCAAGACCACAACCAAGACTGTATCAGCTAGACAAAGACCAATACTAAGACTAAGAATGTCTTACTTTACTCATTATTAGCAGAAAATAATGTTACTCTTTAGGTTGTTCGACAAGCAAATGAGATGACCAGGAATATCCATAGACTTCAGAAAGATCTGGCTGAGAAGGAGGGTTTTATGGCCTTGGCCCATACCAGGTTGGGAAACAGGGCCCAGAGACCTGGTATGGAACTGTGTCGCGATATGGCAGGGGTCTTTTTGGAAAGTTCGATCAGAGACTTGAGAGAGTTCATGGTAGGGGTGCAATCGCAATTGGCAGAGGTAATGTTACTTCCACTTTTCAAATCACTATTACAAAAATAAATCAAAGTCAAAATGAAGGTTATATAAATAAACCTTATTACATCGAAAGGTGAAATGTAAAATTTTGGTTTTGATTATTGTAATATTAAAATGATTACGGTAAGCATACAAGTAATCAAATCCAATAGGCTCAAGCATGTCTTCGATATCTTTTAAAAACCCAAATCCAATTGGAAGAAGATATAAATATCAAAACGAATACACTGAAGATAGACGAAGTCGAATGCATGACTATGCGACAAGGAATGGACTACCATTCATTTTGAACAACAGAGGTGGACAAGTATTCTAAGTTTTTTTATAAAAATTTTGTTGTTTTCTGTTTATTTTTATGTTTAAATGAATAAAATAAGGCACCTTAATGTTTGAGTTACTTTTTTTACACGTTAATTGTAAATTGTGTGAAGTTTGAACCAATAAAAGTGCGTGATTAGTTTCAAATTCATCTTTACTTAATTCGAACAAAAAAATATATAGAGTGTCTTATAATTTTTAATCAAATAGGATTTTAATTATCCAAAATGTCCACAACAAAGGTTTCGTCATTGGTTAAACACTTCTTCAGGGTGGCTGTTTGAAATGGTAAGTCAGAAATGAAATGTTTGTAGTCGTATAATACGTTTATTTTATGAAATCAATAAATGATAAAATACACACGTAAACGATAATTTGATTATAATAACATACGTTTACACTGATATGTTGTTTAAACTGTTAATTAGTAAGTAAGAGATAAAATATTCCATTCTTTATTTGCTCATGTGGACATAAAGATGAGTTAGTGTGTGTTACATTCATATTTATATAACAATTTAAAAAACACTATAAAATATTAATATTAATTAGAGTATTTTTTCCGAAAAATGGCTTCCAAAAAAAAAAAAATAATTTAATTAACTTTACGCTATTTTGATCATCAACATCATCATTATCAAGTACAAAATTTCCTCTAATTTATTTTTATACTCTATTTATTTTAACAGAAAAAGAAGTCAGTTAATTGGCTATAATATACGCAGTATAATAACAAACAAATTTGTTTATAGTAAATATGTATAAATATTTCCTATACTGACTCATTTATAGTTTGATTACCAAACGCTACATTTACTAGTAGGGTTCATGGGTGACCCTAAAGGGCAGTTGTACGCTTTAGCAAAGTCCCACGAGTTCGACAATGGTCCCAAAACCCTAACGGGACCGGGAGAGTGAACGCTAGACCTAATTTTGGTCAGGGCATCTTCCGGTCTCATCGACCCGCACCAGATCTGGGCGTAATTTAAAAAAAATAGTTGGTCATGGGTCAAATTTAAACCAGGAAGATACGGCTCTTCTCCATGTTCTCCCACCCATTTTCTGTAAGCCTGAAAGTTACACAATACGACTACCAGAAATGTAAAAAAAATAATTTTTGTAATATATTTTTGCTGTTCTTTTATAAACTGCTGTCGTACACGCCACTGGAATCCGCAACTGTTTGTTCCTGCGCATGCCCGATGAAAACAGCATCTATATAAAAGCTTGTCAACTCTCAAAATAAGCTCAGTAATGAAAATGATTGTGTGGGAGTGTTGTCTATTGGCAAATTGGAAACAATTTTGCAGAGAATCGGTAAGTGAACTTATCCTTCTTGTCTCTTTTATTTGTTTTACTCAAAAACGTTTCAAAGCTGCGATTGTATAAACGTCAAAAACAATCTTCCATTTTTTTAACCAACAAATTGAGTTATATTAAAGTATGTTATAAAAATATTAATACATAAGTATTTAGAAATTAGGTTGTGGGCAGAAATATGGTCCCACTAGTGTTTTTTAACGATCCCTCTATTACACATTTTACATAAAAATATCGAACCAAAAAAGGCAAGCAAACGGTTTATTTTGTCGTAAAGGTAGTTATAAATACAAGTAAATGTATTACATTCTGTAATGTTTCGTTTAAAAAGTTTTCTTACCCTAAATGCCTGTTTAAGACCTCCATTATCGGCAATATTCTCTCCCTGCGTCATCCTTCCATTAACGTAAAGACCAACCTCGTGAATTTTATATCGGGAATATTGGTCTATAATACATTGAGCTCTCTCCCTAAAAGCTTTTATAGTGGCGTTATTCCACCACTGCATCATATTCCCGTCCTTATCAAATTGACGACCTATCAAACGTGCCATACATGGGTACTACTCCATTTAATAATAAGCAATGATAGTAAAATTGAAATGTGTCTATTTTGTAATAGGTAACTACACCTTCACAATGTTATACATGAAAATATAAATCTAAAAGTCTGCACAAATTCGTGGAAACTTAAAGTGCAATAGTTATTTGGTATTCGTACCTTTGTCGTCGAAACCATGGGTAATTTCATGCCCTATCACCACCCCTATCCCCCCATAATTTAACGACTTGGGAAAGTGCTGACTGTAAAATAAGGGTTGCAAAATTCCAGCCGGAAAAACTGGAACACATTAAGCGTAACAGAATACGAAAAGTTTGCGAAATTGATGTAGAAAAGTTCTCACCAATATCATTTTTATTCGGGTTATAAAACGCGTTGACCACAGCTGGTTCAGTTGACCACTTGTCCTTGTCCACCGGTTGTCGCAGTTTTTGTAAATTTTGATCGGCTTCGAACTTCATCACATTCAACATGTTGGTCATAAAGCTGTTTTTTGTCAAATTCAACTAAGGAAGAAAAATGGAACATGGTTGGGTCACATCTTTCTGTTGATTGATTGATAGAACTTGGTCACAATGTCAGACCCTAAGGTCCAACAGCGTAATAACTGAGGAATTTAGAAGACAAACTGAACAATTTCGGAAGCACATTTTGCGATAACTACGAGATCTAGTATTATAAATACGAACGTCAGTACGCTTGTTTGTTTGCTACCATGTCAGCCCTTGACTACTAAACCGAACATCATACAATTTTGTAAACACATTATCAGGGGTACAGAAAAGGACATAGAGTACCTTTTATCAAAAAAAAAGAACACTGTTCCCAAGGGATAGTAAAATTATCTTAATGTGGTCGTCGATGATCTTTGACACTTACTTAAGACATCATCGCGAGCAAAATCTCGGGTAAAACCTATCACGAAATTTTGTACACACATTGTCAGGGGAACTGAAAAGGACATCGGGTACTTTTTATCCAGAAAAAAATTCCCAAGGGATAGAAAGATTAGTATCATGTAACGAACAAAGCCGTGAATAAAACTTAGGACTTTATAAAAGCAATCAAAACCTCAAAAAAATGTTGTTTTGACTCACCTGTTCGTATTCCTTTTCCAATTCCTCTTTTTCTGTAATATAGTGGGGATAGCCGATCCTTTCGTTCATTGCGTCCGCTTTTTCTTTAGCAACTGACCTAGTTTCGTCATCCATCCAATGATTTTCAGCGAGCAAATCATTGAACGCCTCCCTTATCGTGTGTATCATTTCCAAAGCAGTTTCCTAAAAATCAAAAAAAAAAACATTCAGAGATCGTAAGGGTAGGTAAGGATGTTAATCCTTTCTCAATAAAATAATGAATACAATAATAATAAGTATATGCTCACTTTGCTGTCGTGGTTGAAATGGTCCCGAATGAAAAGGGCCCCAACGGCCATTCCCAATTTCTTATTGGTCCACTCCACGCACTGCGACCACCTGTGCCGTTCGCTCAGAATTCCCGTCAAAATCTTTCTAAATTCAACCCTTTCGTACTGGTAGTCATCAATCATATGGGGTACCAACTGCATTACAAGGCGCCACAAAACATAATTGTGAATAAGCCTGAAGAATAGGAATCAACATTTACTTATATGTAGTTACCAAAACCAAAAACCACAGTTGTTTTTTTTTTTCTGCATGGGGTACCTTTTGTCAGCTGTGGCCAGGATCTTTCCCATTTCAACAAAATAAGACAGTCCATAAGCCACCACGGGCTCTTCTTCCGTTATTTTGACTGGTAAGAACGAGTTCAAATACTGAAGCCAATTTATTTGCGGTACCATTCGCTGAAGCATACCTAAGGGCAGTTTCCTGTATATGGCGCTTGTGTCATGACGATCTGCTTCAGCCAGCGAGGCCTGCATCAGAAATGTCAACTACATAACGTTCTCCAAAGCTGGATTAAGAGAGTCGTTATTTTCAGTTATTAACTTTTGAAACAATTCAACGATTTTAATCAACGAATGGGGCTTGACTTGTTCTAGAAAGATTCCAGAATGCAAATACTAGAAACTTCGCCCGGTGCGAAACATTGGTAATAAAAAATGACTAGAACGATCGCCATACGTAATCATTAAGCAGTTTTATGTCTCAAACTATACAGGGTTTGTCCGGAATGTAATAGGACTGACTTCCTTCCTTCGGAGAGTGCGCGCACCGACTGGATTCGGTAGAGGACATTCCTAGCTAACCAACGAGCGGCTGGTGAGTTGTCTCCGAGCACCTGGAGAGTCAGAATAGGCTTTTTCGCGATGTGTTTCTGTGAGTGGTGCAAGCCGAAAATGCAGCGTTTGTTAGAGTACAGGTACGCGATTAAATTCTGTGTGAAACTGGGTAAATCTGCGACAGAAACGTTTGATATGATCAAGCAGGCTTACCCAGATGTTGCTTTAGCAAGAAGTGGTGTGTTTCGGTGGCACCAGGCCTTTTCAGAGGGCCGGGAAGAGGTCACCGATGAAGACCGTGCTGGAAGACCTTCTACTTCGACAAACACCGACTCGTATGCGCGAAGTTTTCAACTCAGACCGTCGACTAAGTATTCGTTTGATTGCCCAGATATTAAATTTACCAAAATCTGTGGGTCATGACATTGTGACGGAGCATTTGAACATGCCCAAGGTGTGCGCGAAGATGGCCCCAAAAGTGTTCACTGATGACCAGAAATTGCGGCGAGTGGAAGTGTGCCAAGAAAATTTAAACATGTGTGAAAGTGACCCGTAATCACAGGTGACGAGTCATGGATCTTTGAGTATGATCCCGAGACAAAGAGGCAATCTTCCGAGTGGCACACGCCAGCGTCTCCTCGCCCAAAAAAGGGAAGAATGAGCAAATCCAAAGTGAAAACGATGCTCATTGTCTTTTTTGACATGAAAGGCATCGTCCACCATGAATTTGTTCCTCCTGTACAAACCGTGAACGCCAAGTTTTACGTGGAAGTGCTCAAGAGACTCAAACGAAGGGTCAATCGGGTCCGACAAACATCGCAGCCGACTGGAAGTTGCACCACGACAGCGCCCCGGCTCACACCGCCTTTCTTGTGGACATCTATCTGACCAAGGCCGGCATCCCAACGCTTCCGCAGCCGCCCTACAGCTCAGATGTGCCCCCCCGGACTTTTTTTTGTTTGCTCGCCTGAAAAGGCCGATGAAAGGCAAGCATTTTGAGACGACAAAGGGGATCCAAGCAGCATACACCGCGGCTCTTAAGGCTATTCCGGAGAATGCCTTCCGCGACGCCTTCAATGCTTGGAAATCGCGCTGGCAGCGCTGCGTCGACGCAGAAGGAGCCTATTTTGAAAGTTTTTAAAGAATTGTGACGATTGGCTCAATAAATTTTTTTAAATCGACTCACTCCTATTACTTTCCGGACAAACCCTGTACGTTTCACAAATAGGACAGTAATAGGTACAGTAATTCACAAAGGAATCATCTATTAAGAAATTATTTTGTGTACATACGTTTGCCAATGTTTTTTCGAATTCTAACACAAGTTTGAGTTCTTCGGAAGCTGTTGTAGCATTGGCCCCCAAAAGGACGGCTATATTGGTCATATATTTATGGTAGGCCTTTAAGTCGCCTTCACTGCTAGGTTTCAAATAGTAATCTCTGCTAGGCAATGCCAATTGCATCTGATCTAACTGAAAAAACAACATTAAATACAAAACTTCTCCTAAAATTAAAGGTTTCTAAATGCAGTAAGATAACCGAAAATTACGTTAATCTTGGTCTCATTGTGTTGTCTCTAAAATGTGTCAGCAAATTAGTCAAGATCCACCTGATCGGAATTTGTTAAGATTTAAACAAAATGGTCTTTTTTCTGTTTGTTTTGTTGAGGACCAAGTGTGTATTGGTTCCTCGACCGACCTGGTTTGTGCTATTTAGGAACCAATGACTCTTTGCAAAAGTTATTTTGGTCGACTTGTATTAAGAACTCTTGCTACATTGTAGACAAAAGTAAAATGTCGAAGTAACTAGCACGTATTTTCGCGACACAAACTGGAACGTAAATCAAAAGGAGAAATAAAACTAGAAGTTGAAGTTCTAAAATCATTTTTGAACATGAAAGAGCCGGAGCCAACTTTTGACATGTTGCGTTAACAAATTCGATTAGTACCTCGAAACAATGGGACCAGCAAACAATAAAAGTAAAAAATAATACATACACCTTTAAAAAGAAGAAATAACAAAGTTGTCCTAAATAAACTACTTCATCTGAACAAGAATGCCGGCTATAACAATGTCGTGGATAAAAATAGGTCAAAAATGATGAAGAATTGAAAAAAGTTAGTCAAAAAGGGAGATAAGATGGTAGGACATGAAGAGATAGTTAAAGATAAGTATATTAGATGCAGAAACAGGAGCAGAAAGGGGCGTATCGTCGTGGATAAAAATAGATTAAAAATGATGAAAAACTAAAAAAAGTTAGTCAAAAAGAGAGATAAGATGGTAGGACATGAAGAGATAGTATATTAGATGCAGAAACAGGAGTAGAAAGGGGCATATGAAGCCCTGGATGGGATTGCTGATAGGCAGACTTTTTTCCAAAAACATATACTTACGCAGTCGCTCAAATTGGTTGAACTGTGACCTTTCTTACAATTAATAATAATGTTTTCGACATGTAGACAATTTCCAAAATTTCTAGTTTATTAATTTATTGTTTATTTACCATTATTTAATTTTGTTTTTCAAAAAAAATTTTTTCGAAATATCAATTAGGCCTCTACTTCTTACTTTGTGCGCACCTGGATGATGTTAACAGAGCTATTTTTGTCGTCTGGCCCTATCCATTGTTCCACCAGGATCCCTTCGTTGTACGTGCCCCTAATTTCGCCCAGAAGGTTCTCCAGAGTCAAAGGTGGCGGCGTCCACGTTTTCATGGTCACGGGCCAGCCGCCCAAAGACGATAGAATTTGTCGAAGGGGATGGTCGCCGATCTTTCGTAACTGATCTATCAATAGCCATAAAAGTAAGGGTGTCGATTAATTAACTACATGCACGTGCAGAATTAAACAGAAAAGCGGTTGGAAAACTAAAATAATAATTAATAAAGTCAATATTTGAAGATGGCGGCCTAAACATAACCTAAACTATGACGCCATATTGATGTTATACTTCAGAAGTATCTAAAATCCATTTCCTAGAAAGAAATCGTTTTTGATCTAACAAAAAGGTTTATAAAAGGTAGATCTATTTGAATTTTCCCAAAATGTTTATTTGTTTATTCCGTTTTATCTAATAAAGGAAGTTGTCGGTTAAAGTCGACTAACAAAGGCTTTAAAATTTAATTTTCTGAAAACAAAAGAGGTCTTATTTCACAACTGTGTCTGCTATAGGTACCTAAACCGTTTACCTTTAATCAACAAAGCATTTCAAAGTCAAGCGAAATTCATTTACGTTGTACCCTCCGTGCTGTCGCATTTCAAGTTTCATCCCTTTCACGTTTGACATTGCTATAGCTACCGCGTTTCGTTTGACAAGTTTATCGTAGCTCCATTACCTACCCTTATTAATTAGTAATGCGATGTATACGCAACTTAAGAGATAGTAGCTCTTTTGATGTTGGTACTAGGTATAATTGAATAGAGAACGTAATTTCAACGTAATGAACTTTGATAAAGAGATATCAAGGATGCTTTCATAATCAATTAAGTCGGGAAGTTCAAATGCTTTTACGTAATGTCTGCTGTAGAATTCTTAAACAATTAATAGATTAACAAATTATACATATCTACTAATATCATAAAAAAGAGATCAAGTCTTTTCTTCGTTTGTCCAAGTATGAAGATTGGAAAAACTTTGGCCGTTATTGTAGAACAAACAAAATAGCTCAAAGCCCAACGCCAAAACAAGACACTGTAGTTGTCCGAAGCACTTTTCGGTAACAAAGTTACCTTCTTTAGGGACTGAAGTGAACTATTCTTATCACTTTAGTTCACTTCAGTCCCTGAAGAAGGTAACTTTGTTACCGAAAAGTGCTTCGGACAACTAAATTGTCGTGTTTTGTCCAAGGTAGTTTCTGGAACTAAAAGGTGGATTTTCATAATTCTTTGAAAATTAGGACAATAACGATTGATAAGAAGGAAGTCAAGCTAAAAATTAACAATGTCTGATGAGTCAGAAAATTATTGAATTTGCCATAATGTCGATGTTGTTATCAAAAAATCTCTTGCGCTTTTGAAAGCCCTTATACGTATAGAATTTTCAACAGTTCATGGAACAAATGGTAAAATGGTTGAGATAAAATAACGACGTTAGGGACAAATGAGTCTTAATAGGGCAACTACTAAAGGGTTAAAATAAAGTATCAATTTTAGAGTCCAATCAGGTCGTACTGCTGGGCCCTTGTAAATCCAGATCCAGACAGGATGATAGCGTCTGCTTTAACATATTTCCAGTTGGAAACTTTTGAACGATATTGTCCCATTGTTTAGATTTAATTAATTTGATCAATTACATTTGCTATCGTTTGATGTGAGACATAATTATAAACCAATGAGTTATCTATTTGATTTTGAATTCAGCGATGCGATTTATTTTATCTATTACCTATCGAAACAAAAGAAAACTTATTTTGAAATCAAGAAGATCATGATTTCCTAGTGAAAAGCTTTCCTCAACGGTGACAAATTGTTATTTAAAGTTGAAATAATAGATCAATGATTTTGTTCTTTTTTTGATCAAAAGTTTATATTTGGTGGAGGCGCCGGGCGCTTAATCAATATAACTTTCTACGGGAAATCCAGCTTTGAAATAAACTTTTAATAAATTTGATAACAATAAATTTATTGAAAACTGTTTTATCTCTAGTTTATCATTATCAATTAGTTTTTGGGACTGACTGTATATCTGTATCAGGCCCTGTTGAGTTTTAAAACAAACAAAAGAAAGTTTGGGTAAAAAGAAGACGCTGTCTCGAAGTCAGTGAAGTCATTAATCTTTCACTTAAGTCTTTTGTTCTACAATAAGGAGAGCGCCGTTTAATTTTTGAAGACAAAGCTTAAGTTTGTGTTTTTGTTTTGCAACGTATTTAGACACAGGCATGTTGTCTTTTCTTTATGGAGAAGTCCTGAATAATCTTCCTTTAAATTTATTATTTTACCTTGAAGTTTAATTTTAATGATAGTAATTATTAATGGATTTTTCTCTTCTTGATGGAGTTAAAAGCGAATTCTAAAGTTGAAGCAAAGAATGTAGGGTACACAGTTAGGTCGATTTTTACCTTCTGATTTAATTTTTCATGCTCTTACCTAAATTAAATCGGGCACGCAATCCTGAAATAGATTTACTCACGAAATTGGAAATTGTTTATCAGATCTTTTGTTAAATATTAGGATACCTTTTCAATATCAAATATTCATCGATATATTCTATAAAAATAAACTTTTCGATGTCACTAAATCATTTAACTGTAAAAGTCCTTATTTGATATTTCCAATGTATTAAAACATCGTCGAAAACAAGTCCTTTGCTACAAATTAGTCTCTTAACATAATTAGGCTATTTTATAAGTATGTACCTCGCTGGCCAGTGAAACACACTTCTCCTTAGTGTGAAATGGGTTGCTCTCTTGTCCATTTTCATTAAATTAAACTTGATTGAATAAAATATTCCGAAGTGGTCTGTATTCTGTCAAAACCGCCAGACGCGGATTGCGATTTCGATCTTTTTGGATCTCATCAGCGCATCGCAGGCAGCTCCGACAGAACACAGACCAACTTTTGCCTGCTGTATTAACAGCGCGTTTTAGAAAATACCACAAATGGCGCGGTAAACGCCATCTATAGTACGATTCGTTTCAGCAAGTAGATATCCATATATTTAAATGGACCTTGTTGGAGCATACGTAATCCTAAAATGTAGCATCGTACTACAGATGGTGTTTACCGCGCCATTTNTTGGCTTATGTACAAATCAACGTAAAATTCAATACAATGGCAATTTTTTAATTTAACGATTAATATTCTACTTATAAATTTAATAATGACTTCAAAATGTAATTAAATAAAAGCTAAGAAGAAGGCTTTGAAGATCTTTATTCAACTAAATAAATTTTATTACTCATTTCGCTTAATTTGATTTACTTTTTAAGTATGTGATGTATTAATATTTTTATAGGATATCAGCGAACAAGACGCGTACCTGGAGGACTGCGACCCTCCTGAACCCAATTTAATAATTGCTGAGGAGAATTCTAATGATGAAAACGATGTAGATGATGAGACAATGTCAGGTAAATTTTTAAACTGTCAGTAATATTTAGGAGGGAAGTTTTTCAATTCAGATAGATTTTATTGTCTAAGAGATGTTTTATTTATAAGTGTATTATGTTTGAAAATTGTTACAATATCGTCAAAGTATAAAAAAAAATTAATTAATTAATCAATACCATTTATGATTGATAAATCGATTTTAAACGTAGTTTTATTCCATGCTCGTAGGTGATGGTGACTTCTGTAGAAACCTAAACTTACCATGTAATTCCTTGGCCGAATATACAAATATGCCATCAGAAATTGCCGAGAAAGACTCTTCACCTCCCCCAACACCGTGCGATCCTTAAACCCCAACTACCCTCCCTTTTCCTTATACGAGCAATCAAAACGATAATTAAATATTTATTTCAAACCAAATGTAACCTGTTCAGCCACAAAAAGAAACAATATTATTAAAAACTAGAAAAAAATTAGTAATAAAATCTATCTGAAATTGGTGTCTATTTCTTTGCTTTATTTGTATATGTTTTAATACGTTTACGAAAAGTTTACTTTCATCCTTTTAATTAATTCGTTTTAGGTGAAAACGATGTAGAATACGCAGAGTTTTCAATGGCCCAACGTTTGCTATTGAACGATTCAAATGTGGGATCTGAGGCTTCAGCCCAAGTTTCGGGGATTCAAACTACGCCCTCCTTCGAGGACAAGATAATGCTTTTGCATCTGTTTGATGCCCATGAAAGCACAAGCTACTGCAGTCTCCCAGAGCTCGAGGGAGCCTCGTGGACCCCTACCTATGGATCGTCACATCCACGTGAGTCTACTTTAACTTATTTTTAAGTCGTTTATTTACCTTTTTAATCGTTTATAATAAACTGTTACGATTTTGTAAATAAACTGGAATTAGTATTAATAAAATCTGTACCCTTTAAATCTTTATTTACAATTTTTTCTAGTGCCTCAAAGGAAACCCAATCACCTACCCTTAATCGATTTCACCCAACTTGAATGTAATTATGATATGTCATTGTCTAATTCTCATTCTAAGAATTTAAAACGTGAGTAAATAAACGAAAAATAAATTGGATTTACTTTCACTATGTCGTTATTGTACATAGATTGTGAAAGTCAAAGACTGATGGACATTCTAACCCCACCGGGTGACTGTCCGGAGGCCGAATCAAGTGCTAGGAATCCCCCTTTTTCAGAGACCATCCCTCTGAATCAAAATTCAAAGGTGAATATTGGCAGAAGAAGTTGTCCTGGGAGTGATTAATATTCTTTTTTGGTTTTAGAACTCCTTAATGGGCCCTCTTGAAACTTTTTTGCGGTTTTGCAGCCCCTCATCATACGACCATTGCATCGATAGAGAACATATCAGCTCAAGACATGGTAAACGTAAAGGTGGCTCTAGTAATTATTCGCATTTAATTCCTAAGCCGTCTCTGGGAATGGTACAGAACCCACTATTTTCCCATTGTTCTTCATCATCGCCAGATCCATCTCCCTCGTCATCGGCCCCCGTCCATCGTTCGGGGCAGTACATAGGTAAAATTGTCTTTTTCTTAAGCATGTGCTTCGTGTATTACAAAATAATTTTTTATCGTTTCAATTAAATTCTCTTTAGAATGTTGCTTTGTTATTATTTGTGTTATATGGTGTTGTAAAAGTGAGAAAAATATGCAATTTTTGCTTTTAAGAGCCCAGTTTACCAACTTCAAACACGTCGGCATTTAGTTGGACTCCTTCTCTCTTGGTTCAACGTAAGCCTGCCTCTAAGAGCGCGAAACAAACCAAAAACTCCCACGAAGGGCGAGGTAATCAACCAGAAAAAGACTCCAAACCTTCTAGGTTTGTTTTTAAATTATATCTTTCTCCTTTTGACTGTGTAAAGTAATTATGATAATTTTGTTATTTACAGGTCTGATGAACGTCCTAATTCAAATTGAATTGTTTTTGTCCTTTTTGTGATACATTTATTTAAAGGTAGATATAAATAAATTATGCATTTACAGTTAGCCACTGCAGTTTACATGGATTCATGAGATAAAACTTTTCTATTTTCTGTTCTGTTTATGTATGTGATATATTAGATAACATATTTGTATTTTGCTTCAATCAATTATATGCAATCACAGCATATACAGCTAGTTTTGTTCAAGTAGTTATCCTTATCCTTCATAAAACTTTTGTAGTTATTTTAAAAATTTCATTTGGACTGATAGTAAAAAAAGTGAACAAATGTTCCATGAAGACCAATAAATATAAGCAACGATGTATTAAAGAAGGATATTATCTTGTTGTTAGAAGACTATTAGGTAACATTTTTATAAGTTTGTTTACTCAAAACTCAACTTAAACATTTCCTTTTTTAATTAAAATTATCATATATTATACATGTTTATACAATTTTCTTCAAAAAGTTTAAAAGTTGCAACAACTCTAATCGTTAAATTACACAAAATAGTAGTTAATATACGTACATTTTATTGTTTTATCACTTATAGTTAGTGATAGGTACATGATATTTCTAATAATATTAATCATAAATTAAGTACCAATACTTTTGATGACAATTTTATTCAAACATGCGCCTATTACTTAATAATAATGTAAAAGCTATCGAATTTCATGTCATATAAGACAAATTAACTAAATTAAAGTTCTTTCACAAGATTCACAAGTACTACACTTATAACCACGCAACTCACATAATTAATAAATATATGGTAATTTTAACCAACTTGATAGCTTGTTTTCTCTATTGTTTATTAATTAGTACACAATTATTGCACCAACAATTGCAGAAAGTTTATTTTAACCTGAAGAATACAACATTATAATGTGTAGTTAAAGTCAGGTACTTAAAACACTTCATGTATTACAAGTTACATTTTGGCACAGATATTACTTAAGGCGCTGCATTTATGCCTTCTGAATATTACATGCGGACCTGAAAGCCATCAGACGTGTTTATTTTACTATAAACTGCATCTCCAAATTGTTAGCATTCGTACCATCACTAGGTAGTTCTGAAGTAAAAATCTTTAAACGTATACACTTTAAGAGATGAAGCACCTGTCCTAATGCTTCCCTATTAACTATACATAAGCATTTTTTCCATTATAGTCATAAATTGCAGCTGTAATTTGATATTTTCCACTTCGAAGTAACGTAAACATTAACTAGATCTAACCACACTTAACCCCAAAACGCTTGACTTCAATTTACAACTCTTTGAGAGTATTAACCAAAAAACTAAAAACAGCCCCTGACTTAGAAAATTATTGCCTTTAGTAATTTGCCATTTGTAAAGTTCTATTAGCAATATTTAATTTTCAAAAAGTCTTCTTTTTATTCTCTATGCTCCTAAACGTCAAAACACAACAAGCAGTTTCGACAACCTAAAATTTCATCAGTAAAGCCAACTCCTAGAATCATAAATCACCAGATTATATTTTCCTAGTAACTTATGCTCTCCTGATACTCAAATTCGAAAATTTAAGTTCGAGTTTGATTTAAAATAATCGTAAAAACCGGTGTCTGGCGCATCCATCAGAATTGAAATTTATTTTAAACGATTTATAGGATTTATAACCGCAATATCGATTATTATTAAAGCTCATTTTAAAAAATTACAATAAAACGGACTAAATATGTTCGAGTTTGCTTTATTTTTATCAAATTATTATTATTTTTTAATTTATTTTGGTCAAAAACAACGATTGATTAAAGCAGTTAAGCAAAAATTTTCGACTTGATTCGTTCGATTTTGGTTCATATACATGGGTCGATTTTAGCCGAAGAATACGTAAAAACACCATAAATAATCAATTTTTAATTAAAATAAAGCAAGCCACAGCTAGTTCTTATCATTTATTGGTTAATTATTGATATCAGTTGTCATTTACTGATGAATTAGGTGAAAAATTTGTCTTAACATTCGATTTTGGTTCCCAAAAATAACCCATGTATAGGCTACCTGTCGATCGTTTTTGGGAACCGAAATCGAACTTCTGCCAATTAGTTTTGCTGTATTCATCGACAAATGATAACTGATGATATAGATTAACCAATAATTGATATAAAGAGCTCCTGCTTGCTTTATTTTTGCCAAAAAATGATATTTTATGGTGTTTTTTACGTTTTCTTCGGTCAAGGTCGATTCACGTATAGGAATTAAAATCGAACTTTTACTGAAAAGTTTTGCTTAATTCATTAACAACTCACATCTAATATCAAATTTTACTCAATAAATGATCTAAATACACTCTCGTTAGCTTTATTTTTTACCTTCATTGCGTTTTATTTTTTTTGGTGAAAATCGACCCATCTATTTTTTAAAGGAATGTTAANTTATTTTGTTTTTCTTATTTTTTCAAAAATTGTCAATATCTTTCATTATTTATTTGTGGCTCTTGTATTATAAATGAAAAGTATTAAAAAATCATCAAATTTAAGATTTTAGGGAGAAGTGATCCTTTTTTATTGCCTCTTCGTTACGCCCATGCTTATTTTTTACTTTTATTAGTTGCAGGGGTTTGGAGAAGATGGCGTGATTGTCGAGAAAAATTGTTTTCATATTTTCCGTCATATCTGTCACTATTTTGTAGTTCTTGATAATCCAAATTAGTTAATTATAATGGAAGCAGTGATAAAAATTAGCTTCATGTGCACATTTTAATAAACATTGGTGAAAAGGTGTAAAATTCAGTCAAGGAAAATGGCAACACGTAGTAAAAGTGTAGGGAAGAACGATGATCGCAGCGTAGAGGTTAGTGATCTTATTATTATATTTTTGACTTCTTTTGTTACAAAGTGTAACAGGATATTTAGTCGATATTTATAAATAAATGCAACCCTTGTTCGTTATTTATTTGACACTCGTTTATAACTAAGTCCTAACATTTACTAAATTTTGAAAATTATGGAGCTCTTGTCAGCATAATATTTAGGGGGCCATAGTTAAATAATGGTTGAATATTAAAAGGGCTAAAGTAGCAGTTTCTTCATAAAAATAACTGTATACAGTGTTTAAATGATGTTATTTTTTGTTAATTTCCTTCAAACAAACTTATCTTGGTTGCCAAGAAAGCAAATTAATTCTGACTTGACAACATTTTGTCAAAATTGCTAGTCACAACTTTATTTTTTTTATTAATTAATAAAATGGCCTGTTTCACCGATTTCAGTAGGTCTTCTTCAACCTGTGTAAGTTGTACAGCACAACAATTTTTTCCGTATTTATTAAATTAGGGTGACCTACAATTTTTCATACAAAAATATCTATTGTAGACACTGGCAGAAGTTTTTCGATGTTTTATATGTATGGAGAAGCTCCGTGATGCCCATCTTTGTCCGCACTGTTCCAAGTTATGTTGCTATGTCTGTATTAGAAGATGGCTCACAGAACAGAGATCTCAATGTCCCCATTGCCGGGCTTCTTTGCATTTACATGAGCTAGTAAATTGCAGATGGGTTGAAGAAGTTACACAGCAGTTAGATTCTTTACAAGCTGTCAACGTCAGCGGAAATCGCGTTGAAGATAATGACAGAGACAAGTTCGTGAATAGTTAGAATTATTAATTGATAAAAATCTATATTTTATTTGTGTGCAAATTCATTTCATTTCAATTCTAGATGTCTAACCCATATGGAAAAACTTTCTGTTTATTGCTGGACTTGTCGTTGTTGTATATGTCATCAGTGTGCTTTGTGGGGTGGCACCCACTCAGGGCACACATTCAAGCCCCTAGAGGAGGTTTATGAACAGCATATAACTCAAATCAAAGACGAAGTTGCCCAATTGAGACGTAGACTTATGGAACTTATTAGCATTGTCCAAGAAGTTGTATGTTGTTGTATATTATTACAAATAAACATTATTCGATAAATTGTTTATTTCAGGAAAGAAATGTCGATTCAGTTAGATCAGCCAAAGACGAGAGAGTTCGGGAAATTCGAAATGCAGTGGAGTTGATGATTGCAAGATTGGATTCACAGTTAAAGACTAAATTGCTGACGTTAATGGGACAGAAGGACTCATTAACTCAGGTAAGAGGCCCACCTGTTGGATTCAGTAGAATTTCAAATGATAAGGCCATAGTTACAAATTCCTATACTTTTTTTTTTTACTCTGAATTGGAAATGTTTTGATTTTTTTNCTGCTGTATTAACAGCGCGTTTTAGAAAATACCACAAATGGCGCGGTAAACGCCATCTATAGTACGATTCGTTTCAGCAAGTAGATATCCATATATTTAAATGGACCTTGTTGGAGCATACGTAATCCTAAAATGTAGCATCGTACTACAGATGGTGTTTACCGCGCCATTTGTAGTATTTTCTATTAAACCTTATTGTACATTTATTTTTATTTTCATGCACAAATTATATAAGCAACTAATGACGTTTACTTACGTATGTCCATGCATGTGTTGTAAAACGTTTTCGCCTTTGTTGTAGCTTCATTGTCTTCTAAACTGATGGGTTCTTCCAGAACTTCTGCCAAAAAAATATTTTCAATTGAGCCAAGCTCTTCAAGAAATAATTTCGTTAATTAATTAACAACTTCTCTACTCTAACTAAAGTTCTTTTTAACTGTTTCGTGTCATAAAAAGTGATACCCTGTTACAACCTCATATACATCAGTCTATCTGTCTGTCTGCCGTTCAGTCTGTTTCTCACAGCAAGTATCTCAAAAACTATTAGATATTTATTTGGTCTGCATGATCTCAAGGAACCGATAATAATTTGAACAAAACAATTTGTGAACCATCAGAACCATCACCAGTATAGGGTCTTCACCCTACTTCTTTCAATTTTGAGCCAACCCTCGAAACCAGTACAACTATTTGCAAGGAGTAATCTAATCTAAGTCTACGTCTACTCCTCTTAACCCCTGTTTCTACTTCTAATATATCTCTAAGTAGCCCTTCATGTCTGAGAAAGTGTCCTACCAACCTATCTCGCCTATTTCTTATCGATTTCCTTTACGTCTTCTGTTATCTAACTTTTCATTAAATCTCCTCATGTCTGACTTTTTCTTTCTACGATTTTTTCACATGTTCCTATAACACCAAATCATAAAACACTTGTAAAGGAATAGGGGGGTACCCTCCCCCGGAGTAATGCTCCAAAAGGAGGTATTTAGATTCCACAACTGGATTATTGCCAGTGGATGTCAAAGTTGACCAATATTGGTTCAATTTACTGGCTAGTTTTAGACTGATTGTGATGATTGAGAAGTCCATTTTTATATATTCCAATATGGCCCATCTCGAAGGGAAATTTGCATAAGGGCGATTTTTGTTCTTTAAAATCTTCAAGGATATTGATAAAAATATTCGTAAAAAGCATGTTCCTTCCTTTCATATTTCCGAAACCATTGAATATAAAATTATAAAGAAAATTAAAACTGACAAGGATTGTGTCAGGCTGTTTTTTTTTTTTAAATTTATTATCCTCAATTTACATATTACGATAAATAAGAAGTACTAAAAATTATTACAAAGATTCTATTGAAGATCTTGGTTCTTTAATAATTCAATGTAAAATTACAATGAAAGAGGTCCTTTTTGAAGTTTTATTGTTCGTGACATGTGTATTGTAAATGTAAAAATAAATAATCGATTTTGTGCCAAGCATTTTCCCCAACAATATATCTCAATTGGGTACGTGACATTTTAACGAAGTTGTTGTGAAAGCCAATTCAAAATGACTCGTTTGGATGATTATGATTTTACTTGAAAGCCAATCTTCTTTAGAAATACACACAATAAAAGTTTGATGTATATGGAACATTATTATTATTAATGGTTGTTTGGGTAGCCACAGGTGATGTTCAAATTTATGATGCAAATTCGTCACTTTAAATAAGTAAGTAACGACATATTTAATGAGGTAGGAAACTCGGCTGATCCGATATTTGATCAGATTTTTACGATCTTTTGAGGAAGTGCGCAAACATTGAAGCTTACCCTTTAAAATAACTTGAAGTTGATCGGCCATTACTTCAAAGGTGCTTATAGAGCTTCTGTCTTCTGGAATCATGTGTTTTTTGTTCCAAACTCCACAGGCGTATTGAAAAAAATCCTGACAAGGATCCGCTGTTCGATCCATCGCCGATAATAACGACGATGCTATGGGTACGTAATAAACAAACAGTGTATTGATTAAAAGAATGTTTGGTCGTTAGGTAAGATTTATAGTTTTAATTACTAGTATTTAATATCATCTAGACCGATCTTTACTGAGGTAATCCACGAAACACGGATACAGGAGGTGAATATGGAATTCCATATTTCAGTATCGATCGATATAAAATTACCTATTACTTCTATTTAAACTGTATGAAGACGATTATTCCTGTGAACAAGCCTTTGTCAAACCCTAGTCCTAAGACTGTTTGGGCACGCATCCCCCTTCTTCCTATCCTGAGCTAATCTTCGTATTTCCCAAAAACTAAAACAACCCACAGTCTTAACTATTTGCGAACAGTAATCTAATCTAAGTCTACCTCCACCCCTCCTAACTCCTGTTTCTGTCTCTAATATGTCTCTGATTAGACCTTCATGCCTTTGAAGGTATTCGACCAACCTATCTCGCCTATTTCTTATCGACTTCCATAGAGTCCTCTGTTCTCCTATTCTTTCTAATACCTTTTCATTTCTAACTTTCTCTATCCACTGTATCCTGATCATTCGCCGGTAACACCACATTTCGAATGCTTTTAACCTTTCTTTCTTTTCCTCAGTGCCCACTGTCTATGTTTCGCATCCGTACGACGCCGTGATCCAAACCTTTAACAACCTTTTTCGAATTTCTAGATTAACCGTTCGCGAGCATAGAAGTGACTTCTTTTTATTGAAGGCGACTCGACCCTGAGCTATCCTCTTCTTTATATCCCCACTACTCCTTCCGGCCTGACTTATCTGACTTCTCAGATTTCTAAAATCAATCACTTCTCATTTTTCATCTCCTGTCTTTATATTCGTTCTTTCCCTACATTTTCTTCCCTTGCAAATCAGTATTTTTGTTTTACTTTTACTAAGTCTTCCTTGTTAGATGCTAATACAGCTATATCACCTACAAATCTATGCAAACTAATCTTTTGCTCCTCTATGACTATCCCTACAGTTGTACTGTCTTTAATGATGTGAAAATAGGCATAAATTACATAAATGGAAAAGTTTTATTGTTACTGTTTCCGAATTCCATGTACTCGTGCCTACGCAAAGGTACAATTTTGGTCCATATTATTATATAGGTATTTGTAGATAGTGGATGGAATTTTCGATATTGCCGACGGGAAATTGCATTTTAATTAGAATCCATCCAATGCGAAAACGTAAAAAAATTGCTCTCTCTGAAAATGTATGCACTACTGGATAGCCAATTAAATCTTGCATGTCAGAGATGTGATTTGTTTGAAATGGGTCTATTTAAAATACAAATAGCTATAAAATGCAATCTATTATTTCTATTTTCAGTTTTTGCACCAGTGGAAAATTGAGTAGCGAATATAGGGATGTTCTGTAAATTGTAATCTTTTGAAAAATACGACAATAAAATAAGTCCAGTAAACGCAATTTAAAGTTTTTGAAGGATTTTACGCCTTGTTTAAAAGATTTTGAGGGTTCGGTTAATTTAGGCTAGTTTTAACAAGGGATATTTTCAGTTAGACATCATCATCATAAGGTCGCCAGTCCTGAGACTGGTGTCACGCACCTCCACTCTTTCCTATCCTGATCTAATCTTCGCTTTTCCCCAAAACTGGAACAACCCACATCCTTAACTATTTGCGAACAGTAATTTAATCTACGTCTACTTCTACTCCTCTTAACTCCTGTTTCTGCCTCTAACATGTCTCTGACTAGACCTTCATGCCGGAGAAGGTGTCCTACCACCCTATCTCGCCTATTTCTTATTGACTTCCATTTGATTTCCACTTCTGTGCACCCGTTCTTTCTAATACCTCCCTATTTATAACCTTCTTTTTCCATACCAATAGTTGTGTTTTACTTTTATTTATCTGTAATATTTGATTGAATTTTAATAATTATTACTTACCCGTTCTTACGCACTCTTCCGACAAACAAATTCTTCTGATTTCTACAAGAAAAAAGAAGAAATTCAAATAGCAGTAATTTGTTTTCTGGTACAATTAAAAATGTACAGATAAATGGGCCATTGTACTGAAAATTTTGCGATTATAAATACATATTAGACGTTATCATCTGTGATCTGTTTCAGGATTCGATAACGATCATCTAAATACTTTTAAATCTTTTTTAATAACATTAGATATCTATTAATGTTTCNAATAATAATAATAATAATAATCAAAGTAATAGTAATAGTAATAATATTAATTAAAAAAAAAAAGAGGAATGGACGCGGGAATAAGGGCGGGAGAGCGACGGGGTATGATAAATTTTACGTTACGTTACTTGCTATACGTAAAAAAGAATTTCCTGAGCACTTGTTAACTCAAAACAATAATAATAAAGGGGAACAAATAAATCACGGTTCGAAATGAGGAAAAAATTGATAAACGTTTCATCAGACGAAACAACAGTCTTCAATAATAATAGTAGTGCTAAGATTAAAAGAAGAAGAGTAAAACCTTATTAGTTAATAAAATTAAGAATAAAAGTAAGACGTTTATCAATTTTATGCGTACTCCCCGTCCATAAAACAAACAAAATTTGTTGATGTGAAGTTTGTAACGGGGTTTTCCCCTGTGTTATCTGAAAAAAGCATTACCTGCCCTAAAACAAACAACAAACAGCAAGAGGACGTAAAAGAGCGCATAAAACTTAGCCTAATCGCAACGGCAAGAAATGATTTAAACGATTCTAAATCATTCCTCCACCCCCAATCACTTCTTCCCATGCCTGCTTTAAATCATTCTTACCAATAATGGTTTCAAAATACCTTGTCGATTATAAATCATCGCCTCCCCCCCTTACTACAGCTGATTTTAAATCACATCCTCCCAAGACGATCCTAAACAATTGCCTCCCCTGACGTTTTAAAACAACTTCCTTAACGTTATCAAATCACGCCCCAAAACAGTTTAATGTCACACCTCCCATGACGATTCTAAATAAACTCCCCTTATGATTCTTTTAAATAATTTCCTCCTTTGACGATAATAAATCATTCCTCCCGAAATTACGGTTTAAAATCATTTCCAAACACGACGAATCTTGATCCAACCCCCCCCCATGATGATTTTAAATCACTTCCGCCCATAACAATATTCTAAATCAATCCCCAATCATTTCCTTTTATGACGATTTTAAATCATTCCTTCCCCATAAATGTCGCTTTCAGTAATTTTATCACATGACTGATTCTAGATTAATCCCCCCTCCAAGATGATTTTAAATCACTTCCTCCCTTAACGATATTTTAAATCCTTCCCCAATGACGGTTTCAAATCATTTTTTCCTATGACGATTTTAAACCATTCTCTCCCCCCCTAAATGTCGCTTTCAATAATTTTATCAAATGAAGATTCTACATTAATTATACCCCCACCCCCATGACGATTTTAAGTCACTTCCCCCCATAACAATATTCTAAATCCTTCCCCAATGACAGTTTCAAATCATTTCCTCCTGTGACGATTTTAGATCATTCCCCCCAGACCCCAAATGTCGATTTTTATTATTTTATCACATAACAATTGTAGATCAATCCCTCCCATGACGATTTTAAAACCATCCCCCAATGATCCTGCAGTTTTAAAGCCACCATTCCCTTCTTGGAACATACTTCATAGAACTCAATTAAAAATATGTCTTTTTAACGGTCTTATCTTCAAAACCACTCTGTTTCATGAGCCCCTTTATTAATTACATCCTGTTGCAGTTGCTGTTTATAATTTGTTGGGGCCTGGCTACATCCTTTTTAAGGTAACAAAGGAAAACACCTGCACAAGTTCTACAAAATTATCAGAATAAAGGGACAGAGATAGGGGGGGTAGTGCAATTCCCAGCCACGTCGTCCTCAATTCCCTTCCAATGCACTGCCGGAACAATACAAAATGCTACTCAAAGAAAAAAAAAACAGCTAGCACACTAATAAAAAAATAGAGACTCGAAACAAATGAGCAAAGGTTTCGTTTCGTTTCAATCGTTTGATTTTTTTTTTTTAATTTTTGTTTCTTTTTCTTGAGCAGCACCTTTACATCATTAACACTTGAACGAGAACAAAATAGAAACGCACAAACGATATTACAAAAGAAAATTAGAAACAAAATATTTCAGTATAGCAATTCGATCTTATAAATAAAGATTACTAGTAGCAATTCTCAAAACAGAATCATATTTATGTATACAAGTACGTAATTAATTCAATTATTATGTATATTTAATATTTATGTAGGTACCTCCNATGGCCGCGTCTCTTAAGTTTGAATCGGGAAGCATTCCTAAATTCGACGGCACTAATTTCCAATTGTGGAAATTCAGTATAAAAATTTTGCTGAAGGCTGAAAATCTTCATACGGTTGTCGATGGAACAGAAACCGAACCAACAGACCAATCAACACCGGAGACCCATTAGAAGTGAACGACTACGTTATTAACACCAAAGAAGTCGCAAAAGTCTTTGAGATATTGGGAAGTCGGAAATACTTTGAGAAGAAAAACAAAGAATATCTTCAGAAAAATCCAGATTATCTTGCTTCCAGTTTAGATACATTAGGGGTTAATTATTTGCTATCTCAGGAGTTAATGCTTTCTCATATAAACGAAGAAAATATAATAGATAGCAAGTCTGAAAACATATACTCAGAAATTGCTGAAGAACAACTACAGGAAGTTATAGCTCAAGACACATCCTCACCTGGTGATCAGCTAGGATCATCCCACATTTGTTTAGAAGATATAGAATTGGAATCAGAGGTGATCTACGATCAAGTTCCTGAGGAAAAAGAGATGGCTGATCATCAAAGTATTCAGGATGATGAAGTGGTTAATCCAACCGATTGTGGTGCTATGTCTCTTCTTCTTCCTGAGTTTGAACTGCCTCCACCAATATCCTTCCAGAGAGACACCTATGCTGATGAGGAGGTGAAGAAGGTTCAGGATGTCATGATGAGACAACAGAACCAAAATCCAGAGCCACCCCAGCTTGGATCACTCGGCCTACATGTTGTTCAAAAGAACCCCTCTCAGGCTACCTCAAGTACTGGAGCAATCCCTAAAACCTACTTGGAATCGTCTAGGAGTTTCCTGGCACCAAATAAGGGGAAGGGGAAGCATCAGAAAAAGGATCAGCGGAAAGAGAAATTTGATAAGAATTGGGATGGGGGATCCCAGCTTAAGGACAAGACTAAATCAGATCCATCCCCTGTAAAGAAGCTCTTCAAACACTTAGCTGATATTTTGAAGATTCCATATAAGGGTCAGAAGGTTAAAGAACGATCAAGTGACCTTCACCTTGAGTATATCGGGGACTCCACAATTGAAGGAGTGGCTGACTTCATGGAGATTTGGAAGGGTTTTAATGGGAAATTGTTAGGTGAAGTCAATGCCTCATCCATATCAAATACATATGACTTAAGAGAGTTCATGGAATCAGAAGGGATATCAACTGAAGTTTTGTTATCTCACTGCTTCAATACCATTTCCCTTCATACCCATCTTATAAATCATCTTGTCACAGAACAACAGGAGGCAAGAAAGGACATCCAGAAGGTTATTCAACTCCTGTCACAATCATCCATCAAACATCAGGAAAAACCCAGACAGGTAGTAACTGTTGAGACTCAACAACCTTCCTCTCTGTTCACTCCTCAGATCCTACCTCAGGAAAAGGTCCAGAACGTTAGTCTAACTAGGAAACCAGGAGAAAAAGAGTGGGCTTTCAAGAATAGATGTATCAAAGCAAAGGTGCCGTATGTTCCTTTAAAATCATCTGCTCCCGCGGATCCTCAAAGTAGGAAAGGGTTAACATTAGATAAGCCCAGAGGGGGATTGCCACCAATTGTTCAACAGTCTGTGGATGCCATTTCTGCTCCAAGCCAGAGCATTACTCTGATGGTAATGGAGACACCTTGGTTTAAAAACATTTACCAAAAATTCAACAACAGCTTAGGGGTGAGCAACCAATACGTTGCTGCAATGAGTCTCACAGAGATTGCTGAGACTTTAAGGAACAAGATTCCAAGAAAGTGCTTCACTGATCCCACATATGAGAACCTGGAATATGCTATTTCTGTTAATGATGTTGCAAAGAAAAAAGAGATCCTGAATTTCATCATAAGCACCCTCCAGACTATGAATGAGAAAGAGATGGTATGGCAGAATTTCTACGAATACCGAATGCAAGAAAAAGGGAAAATAGCCGACCACATCTCAGCTGTTGAAATGTTGGTGAAACAATTAAAAGACGTTGGTGAAAACATCAGTGATAGTGCGGTTTGTTCAAAGTTAATCAACAGTTTGCCATCCAAATTCAATGCTTTTCGAACGGCTTGGGACTCAGTCGATAGTTCAAAGCAAACATTCGAGAATTTAACAGCCAGACTTTTGAAAGAAGAAACTCAAATGTCAAACGATAATATAGAATCGCANAACTAATACAGACTGTACTTATTGCGTAAGATCATTAAAAATGATTTATTTGACCTTAAATTAGTTTTTTGTATTTTTCGTACCAACACGCACATTTTGAAAATATTTGTATATGTACATATAGTTATAGGTAGAGATGTGCAAAATGTTTTTTTAAAGGTATTGAAATGCAAAATGCAAATACTTTTTTGATTTGTTATTTCAAATGTAAAGTACAAAATTTCCTTGTTGTATTTTGAATGCTAAATGCAAAATACGTATTTAAAAAATGCTTTTTTCAAATAAATACTTTTTTGTAGTACCTATTTAATTTTCTACATTCACTCAACTATAAAATATTTTTAAGAAAACCTTGCAGGCATTTTCTCATTTTTTTTTAATATTGGAGTTTTTCTAGAGTAATAGTGGTGTTTGCATTATATCACCAGCTGCGAAGATGGAGTATGATTCATATTTTTCTGTTTGAAGTGATTTAGATATAGTTTTTCTATCTTTATGTTATAGTTTCTTCAGTTCAGCAACAAATAATTCTTCTATTTGCTTCCTTATTTACCTTTGTCACCCGTTTCGATTAGGAAAAAGACACTGATGCCAAAATAGTTTGTTTAACGTACAAGATCTGAGCCAAAATAATGCAAATAATTTTATTTATGTAAAACAACAATTCGATGTGGTTTTGCGGGCTGTTTTGTCGTAAATCACAGAATTTCGTAGTTTCTTCCTAAAGGTACGATAAGTGGAGATTTGGCAGGTGCTGATATCAGTTTGGAACTTCAAAATTCCGTGGACCATGACATTGAACCCGGAAAACAATATGGATTCAATATTTTAGATTATCCATTTCCAAGGAGTTTAGAATTTTTTGGGCTCTCTTCAGTTAAAGGATTAAAAGGCATTCATGGAATGTCTCTTTGTCCCTTTTTTAAGTTTCTAATACCTTCAATAACCAATGTGAGCAACTTTCATTCATCATTTTATATAATGTTTGATCGGTGATACTAGCAAAAGTTTTAAGGCAAAAATGTATTTTGCATTGTACAAACAGAAAAAACGTTTAAAAAAATACATAATGTTTTCTCAAAAAGCATTTAAATGCAAGATAAAAATAGGTATTATTTTTTATTTTGTATTTGTATTTTACATGCAAGTATTTCAAATAAATCTCATCTGCAGTCGTGAGATAAAAAATTATCCGGAGACCACTCGGAAGTTGCGTTTCTGAACTC